TCTACCGACAGACACCTACCAAGGGAAGGATCATAGGTTTTGCAAAATGAGTACAATTTACCTCATGCTTCCATGTTTCGTGTTGGAACGGTCGCCGACGCAAATACCTGTGAAAATATTGGATCTTCGAAGTAGATTGCCACAGCGACCTTGATTTGTGCGCATGGGACGTTGGACTCATCTGGCCCTTGAAGCATTGCATTTCCGGTGGGTTGAATGATTGAAACTGGTATGTCTTCTTGAAACCTCTATTTTCATTCTTCCTCATGACTTACTCCGCACCTGGGTTAGCTACTTCTTCGAGTATAAAGGACAGAGTCTTCCACTAATGAAACTCATACTTTTCAACCCCACATTCCTTTCGACCTTTGAGTCTTTGGCAGTCTTTCTTTTTCTTACTAGACCTACTTCGAACAAAGCAAAACACTAGGCTCTACACGATGGTCCACCTTTCCGCATCTCTTATCGCTTTCCTCACTCTCACTGGCACCTCGCTTGCCGTGCCTTCGCTCCCCAGCAATGCCCTCCTTCCAAGAGACTCTCATAAGATCGCCTTTGACGATGTTTCCAAACGCCTTCTTGCTTTCGACATCAAAGGGAGGTCCCTGGGATCGTTCCCTATGACTGCTGGGTTCGGAAAGAGAGCTGGAACTTGTACTCCCATGACAAACAATGACATTGCGAAAATCCCTGGACTCCAGAAACTTCGGGATGAGGCTGGTACGTCGATATTCCAGTATTATCAGCAACACATCTTCTCTAACATTCATTTATCTAGACAAGAACTGGGGCAATCGTGGTCGTAATGAAGTTGTCAACGACCCAGGCGCCCCTGATGCTCCTGCAAATGGTATGATAAACAAACTCCCATTTCCAGCCCCTTTTAAGTCATCTTACATGTGTTTATGTAGTTTGTGCTGACGATGCTGGTGTCACCATGGTATACGACGGCACGCCAGCGTGTAAGGATATCATCAACCAGGCTTCCGGTACCCTTGAAGGCGGCAAGATCACTCTTGAGAACAATGAAGGTGTGAATATGGCCACCACCACTGAGGTCACTCAAGCAGCTTCCTTTGGCCTTGACACCAAGATATCGGTCAGTTCATTCCTGTGAAAATGGCAGAGAGCATGCTGACGACGAGATATGGACAGGTTGGATTCAGTTTTCCTGAAATCGCAGATGTTTCTACAGAGATTACCGCCCACTCTGACTTCACCAACACTCAAGGCACTTCCAATTCTGTTGGCGCAGACATGCGTACGCTCCAACGTATTGAGCAGCCAGTCGATGAAGGTCAAACCAAGTATGTTACCTTTCCCTATTTCACATAAGTACCGCTCATGGATTGCGTCTTAGTTGCAAGGTTATGCTCACGACCAAGTCATGCTCCATTACTGGCAAGGGATCCCTCAAAATGATTGCGACTGGAATCTTCTGGTTCGAATACAAAGATATTGTCGATGGTCACCGCAAGTGGGGTCTTTCCATGGACTCCGTTCTCCCCGACGTCGACGATAGAGCCACAGTTATGCAATTCAAAGTTCGTTTCTTGCCCTTAGTCTGCCCTCAAAAAATGAGATCCTTATTATGTTGTCTTTCCGCAGGCAACTGGAAACATTGACTCTGCAGGCCACTTTGCTTCTTCTGGGTGCACGAATGGTACTACCATCGTCACAAAGGTGTAATATATTCGGATATTTATCGCTACCACACGTTTTACATTGTATGTACTACTTACCCAAGCCGAATATTCCAGCTTTGGTTTGCCAATTTGACACCTTTCATTTCGAAAAAATGCTTATATCGCCCTGGCGCTCTAATTATCCCTGACGCCACCCTATTTTCTGTGAGATATCACGTCTAAGTCTAAAAAGAATGAAACTGTAGCGCCAGACGTCGAGCGCTTCGTGGACCCACGCATCATTGCCTCTGTGTGGCGGGGACTTCAAAAGCAGGCTCGAGTATTTTCTGGAGCTGTTGATACTCTCTCATCCAAGGCCGCATCGCTCTCAAACAATCTGAGACATAGCACAGAATTGGATTAACCTCCCGACATTATCCGTGTCCGGCTTCGATGTTCCTTGTACTTTGGCCCCCAGTCCCTCTCCCGCCGCCCCCGACTTCTCCAGACGTTTGGCTACTTCTTTGCCCTCATTTGCTTCGGAACCTACGCAGGATGAGGGGAAGCGACAATTAGATACCAGCTGCTTTGAGAATATGTTTTCAATAAATTTTCCATTCTCCCCGATATTTGACAGCTTTCCGATCCCCTTCTGTGTTCCTCACCTATGCTTCCATGTCTGGAGTAGTGAAGGCAACCAGACGGTCGGTCGGTCTTTAGAACGAGATCTTAACTAGCCAGATCTCTCTCTCCATTCTGATGATATGAACCTAACACCCCTCACTCTTCAGAAAGGCGCATTGCTCAAGCCGAGGAAACGCGTTTCTTTCGTTTCCTCGAGCTCATTGAATCCAAGATCCGAATCAAAAACCCTCAACCTCACAGGTTTCAATGCGACCTTTGGCCAGGCTACGCCAGGTCTCGGCATGCTGTCGCCCACATTCAAAGCGGAGAAGCGCCCATTGTTCCCACCCAAAATAACACGAACAGTGCTGTTTGATTTTCAAAAGTACGACTTCTAACAGCTTCTAGACTCCGACTCATGTCATCGGAAGCATGCGAAATACAAAGGGCCATGATTACCAATTTGGGAAGAGGGAACAGCCCCGAGTCATCAGCACATGAGGCACTTGGGTATAAAGAGTTGGGAGTTGTGTACTTTGGTGTTTCGTTAACTGCGCTTGGTTGCTCCCAGCATCCTACATACACATCTACATCTACAGCAAACGACACAGCATGCTTTCTCCTATCCCTCTTCCCCTCGACATGGATCGCGTTTTCGATGACGCTCTTCATCCATTCGACGACTCTGGCTTTGGGGCCGCTTCTGTCCGGTCGCGTCTTGACGCGACTTTTATCAAAGCGGCGACGAATAGTCGCAAGCTCGCCATTTCCCAGTCCGACGGAGGGATTCCAGCCATGCTGGACATTCTCTCGCGTGCCGATCTCGCGTACGCAGACCTGCCTTCTGCCCACCTTGTCTGGCAGAACAAGTTTGGCGTCACCTATTCGAGGTACCCTGGTGTGAACGCCAACGAGACTTTTGGTGGCAAGGTTAGTGCCCATGTCTCGCGTTTCTCCCATGATTCAAAACTCACCTGGTTGTTAGACGGTCATGCAGCTCTTCGAGCAGATCCAGGTTGCAGCTTTATCCGCGTCGGAGTCGGTGAGTACCCCGTTCTTGAGAGGAATGACGAGTTCTAACTTCGTTCTTCCAGAAACTTGCTGAGTGCATTTCATTGTTGCGAGTTCTGAGCGGCACCGACATGGAAATCTGGTTCGAAGAGCAAGGTGCTCGTTTGCCTGCTAATGTCAGTCCCTCCTTCTCCTTTCGGCATATCATCGCCTAACTTCTTCGTTTCGTAGCGGCAGGAATTTGATGAAGTTTTGAGGCGTCAGCGTTTCGTGAAACACAACGTATGGCATCCAGCATACCTTACTGTTGATCTTCACTGACCATCCTCTTTTCAGCTCGATAACTACGAGATTCCCCGTCTTGAGAAACGCATTATGAAAATCAATGCCGCTCTCGTTGAAATCCGTGGATGTAGCAGCGACGGTCTGGTCGGCCTTGGCCTCACTTTCGATGACCATGGTTCGCCGTCGACGTCGGCAGCATCAAGTGAACTACTCCTGACGCCACCTTCTTCGCCGATTGAAGGATGGTATAATGGGAAAACAAACGATAGAATAGGGGGAGTCAATATGGCTCCTCCAAATCTCCACAAGATTGAAGCGGCTATACCAGAGGTCCGTCCTCTCAGGGAGGTCCCCGGTATTAGCTGCAACCGTAGAGAAGGGAGGAGGGTAGGGAAAGTTGTACCGAAATTTGGAGTAATCGGAGAAGAGAGGAAAGCGAAGTGGGGGGTAATCGGAGGGGAGAGGGCGAGGAGGTTGTAAGTAGAACGACGCACATTGGATGAAGGGCGGGCGTCGGGATGCGAGAACAATGGACGGTGTTACCTATTGTATGCTCTTTTGTTATATTTTCGGAGTTTTATAGTTCCTTTGTGTTCGTCTTTGTGGTACCATGCTATGCAAATATTTTGTACTTCGGAAAATTTCGGTCGTTGTGGATTTTTTGTTTCGTCATCGGCTCCCAGAGTACAATCGATTTCGTCTTATACAGGTTTCGATGCTCTTTTATTCGTCCGATCTAAAATCGCAAGAAACGGCTGAGGCTGAAGAGAGAGGGCGCGAGAACTCGAGGAGGAAAGATGTGATGGGGGTTCTGCAGAAAGATCTGAACTCCGACACACGTGATGAGCAAAGGTCCAACTGATTTCATGTATTCTCGACGTGCCCGACTGCTTCGGCCACGTCTCAAGCGCATGGATTTCATTAAGGCTCGTGTGAATTGTCCGACCGTCTTCCGCTCAGGTCGCAATCCAGAAGGAAGCGACGTTTGGCCTGATTTTCGCGAGCTGAATAATTGGATATGTGTGACATTACAGCTGTTTGCATAAAGTTAAGCATTCTGCGAGAACCCCGAAACCTTGAAACTTCGAGAAAAATCTCCCCTTCGTCAAGAATTCATGTGCCGAGGGCTAGGGTTTCGAGGTTTTGAGGTTTCGGCGGAGTGCCAACCTTTTATGCAAACAGCTGTAACCAAGGTGTTTCCCAAAACCAATGCGTGTCATGATTAGAAGGCACAAGGTCAGTGAACACACGAAGTACCGGCCTCGTCAACCTCATTTCGGACCTCAAAAGGTCTGCTCTGGATGACACAACTAAAAAGTTTAGGAATAGCAAACAGTTCGTCACGAATTCTTATCCTTTGAAGCTTGGATAAAGCCAATAATGAAATGATTCAGCCAAACCGAAGTCCGTCCTCACTTCTGGCCTCCGAGTCCCTTCCTCCCAAAGGCAAAACAATGACGAGGGTGGGATTTGAACCCACGCCCCGGAGGACTAGAGATGAAGGTATTAATAGCCTAAATCTAGCGCCTTAGACCACTCGGCCACCTCGCCATGAAAGACGTTACTGCTGGTCCTGTAAACACCGGCGGAAAGGTTTGAGCCCGTTCGGTTTGGGTTTGGTGACCTCATCGCTTTGCAGCCGGGAGAAAAGAAATTGAAACACCGTTTGACAATTTCCATTAAAAGACGGACGCTGTATCTTCGTAAACTAATGGCAAATGCTGGAATAAGCGACCGAGAAAGAATAAGATAATCGAATTGAGGTAGATTACGATACTTGTGGTATGGCCAGTTCTCATATCAAAGAATAAACTTTTCCATCTGAAGGTTTTACTGATCTTTATTATACACGAGTTCTCCGGCATGTTTAGCCAACCATGGTTGACCATCAAGAAGGCAGGTAGGGCAGGCATCTACCTTACGCTTCTTAGAGATGAGCTCCTCATATATCTCGTCACGACTTGGGGGCTCTCCTGGGTCAATGTCAATCTTCGACACTAGAAACTGTGTATGAGAGGGTTCTTGGAGAGCACATCAGGAAAATTTACATATGCCAGCGATGATGCCAGTCACGATAGCTGAAGATTGGTCGGTTCCATCTCGCGAGTTGTACTGTCGTTAGAATCAGCAGTCATTGACCCACGATTTAAGTGCAGTTTCTCACTCCTGCGTGCGCATCAGTGGCAATAATACGCGTCCCTGGTGCCCATACATCGACACACTGAATATTTAGCCGAAGTTCGTTTCAGTTCGCAAGGGCTCGAACCTTTCCGCGATTTGAAAAAACGGCATCCTGATTCCATTCGGTAGAAGCACCCACAACAAACTCATGTGTTTTCTCCGGTTGTGTCTTCCCGGTGTCCACGTGCATTAAGTCCACAAAACACTTTATAGAAGGTCTTGGTGTCAACAAAACAAAAAGCACGTTTACGTGGAAACCAACGGCCTACCCGATTTTCACCATTGTCGCCAGCAGGGACAACCTGAAAGGAAACAATCAGCCAATTGGGACAAAACACTGGCCTAAAAGAACGTGCAACGTATAAGCCAGCCTTGGCTGCCTAGCAGGAAATTAGAGGCAGTCACGATGCACTTATGCATAGCTACGGACGAACTTTTTCGATCAAGGCCTTCCAATCATGATTATTTCTCTCGAAGAATACTGGGAAATTAATGCTGATAACTCCAGCATCGAAATTGAAGGCGACCTCGAAGTGGTTGATGGCTATTTGAATGGCCTCGTATATGCGAGACATGAACGCCTTATAGTCATTGGCCATCTCTGCACAATCGTTTGCAGACCCGCAAATCTAAGTGAGAATTAATGATGCGCTGGCATTCTCAGAGTAACCAAGTCAGCACCTTAATAGGGAACAAGTGTGCTTTTGGCGATACACCGCCGTTGGCTCCAAGCACAAGCGAAGCCATTCGAGTCTGGCTAGCAGTAAGCGAGAGAACCGCAGCGAAAGAAGAAGAATAGCATACTCCATGTTTTGTAGCTGAACTGTCGAATCTCGGATCAGAGTTCTACAAGCATGAGCGTGAGAAACTTGTAAACACAAATAATCCCGGTTTAGAGCTAACCCAATCCTGAACTCCTGGGATATTAAGTGACTGGCCGGCTTCGATACGTGATGTATGCCGTAGATCTGGATTGTCAAATTCTACGCCGGAGTCCAAAAGATAAACCTGGGAGCCAGAAAATATCAACGGCGGAAAAAAAAAAATGCACTTTACACCTACCATGACTCCTTTGCCGTCCGTTTTGGCCTCCAGTAGATCGTCGTTATATTCCCATCCTGTTCGAATTTGTTTTGAAATATGATCTGAGTCAATGGATGTCATTGCAGCAATATGCCTGGAACATCATCAGTTTCATAACCGTGCGCCAAAAGAATTAAATAATGGCCACCAATGTACTCGGCGAAATACTGTAGAACTTCCCAGAGGCATCTGCGCAGCTCTGTTCTCCGCCAAACCAAAGCCCACTTCCGTGGGAAGTTTCGCAAGCCAGGGCTTTGCCTTCTGAATGACACTGACGAGTGGTTCACGCACAGGAATCCGGTTGCGAGTGAGCTGAGAAACAAAGAAGTCACGGGTTGCTTTTTCCTTTGGGACATTGAAGCAGGATTCTAGATGAAACGAAGCCCGCACGTGAATGTCCGAACAAATGAGTTAAAAGATTTAACATACTTGTGTAAGCAATCATACCAGAGACAAGTGCCGCTGAGTTAGATGTTCCATCGCTTGTGGAATAGTTATCCTATGAAATTGAGATTATAGACGATAAATTTCGTTGGGTATACCTGGAAAGCGGCTTTGATATTAGATCCAGGGGCCCAAAGGTCCAGGCACTAACAAAAATTCGTCAGGAACACTCCGGGTATATGTGGACAAAAGAGCGCACCGAGCCGCGGTTCGAGAAAGCCGAGACTTCATTGTACTCATTTGATGCTCCCACCACAATCTCGTGAGTTTTAGGAGGGCAAACTTGGACAGGCTTTTTGTTCGGATGATCATCAAAGCACTAGATCTGGTCAGAAGAAATCGACAGCGATACCTCATCGAAGACTCACCCGATTCCATGCATCATTGCCTGCAGCAAGGACCTGGGGTCGTCAATACGATACTAGAGAAGACACAAAGGGAAAGACGAAAATCCCACCACAATTAAACCCAAACGATTGGCCTGAAAATAACGTGGGTGAGGAACATTGTCGTTACAGACGAACGGCGAATACGCACCATGTCCATTTTTTTTACCCAAAGGTTACCCTGAGCTCCATCAAGCCCATTAAAAGTACGCAGACTAAGATTTATGACTCCAAAACGCTTTTCAGACTCAATCTGCTGAAAGTTTTCGAAAACAACATCCATCGCAGCACTTATATTTTCCATGACCTCGTCATTAGTCACCTCTTTCTCGTCGAACGCCTACCCGCGGTTATTAAAGCTGATAAAAGAAGAAGTGTGCTCACTAGCCTTGACAGAGACAAGCTTTGCATATGGGGCAAACCCCAGGTTTTGTCCTACGATTAAAGATGCCATTGCGGTCTATGAGAGAAATAGTTCAGAACAATTCATCTCAATTGAACGTGGACGCACTCCGTGGCTTTTATCACTTGAATCCACAGTCCGAGTCTACGAAACGAGAGCATTAGTTCAACTTCTACTCAAACAGGTCGCATAAAAGACATGCTTCCCAGAATTTTTCTATCGCTAAAAGTTCGATAACTGTTCCTTTGAACTCATCATTTCCGGCATTGACGCCAGCGTCGATAACGTAAACCTGTCCAAACTTAGATAAAGAAACAATAACCAGTACCAAAACATACCACGACACCATCTCCAGGCTTACACGCTTGCGGCGGGTTCCAATCAAAGCTCCCCACAACTGATACAAATCCAGTGTCTATACAGTCACTAATGGAGCGAAGATGCCTACACACATCTAATCAAGCTTAGCCTTAGTAAAATATCTATACGATACCATGGTGCATCATTGCGCAGTCCAAAAACCGCTGTTTGATTGTGACCACCATGCTCTGGAAGTAATGCAGGTGAGCATGGGTCAACAAGGAAGATGAGGAGACCCAAGGGATAAACGAAGAGGGGAAGCATCGGAACAGAGGCAAAAGACTTAAAACGCGAGGCCCTTATACGAAGAGCATGGATGGCCACAATCAAATGCCGTGACAGGTAGCCTGCGCTAAATAGTTGTCACGAAAGAGACAGCTGACAGAGCGCAAACGGATCGTTGGCATCATCGAGAGTTTAAAAGACCTGCAGGTGCATGATGAGCTGTGTTAATGACATGCAAACGGTTTACATTTTGGATACTAGTATTATTTTGCTGGTGATGAGAGGAAGAGGTGGGCAGGACAAATCCTCCTTACCTGGGGACAGATTCCCACTAAAGACCAAACAGAGGAACAAGATATAAGACACCAGGTTTGAGACGAACTTGAAGCATGAACTGTCCAGAAAGCATTTCTCACGACCAAATTGCAAAATATGCTGCAAAGAAACGAGCACATCAAACTATTTGATTATTTGACCCTCAGGGAGAGCTGAAAGCTTCTTCTCCTACGACTATGCTGATAAAAGAGGCGAATTCACGGAGTACTAATTACGAACTAACGTACTGTGATTGACAAGGGGGGGGGGGGGGGACCCAAGCTCGCTGATACAGGGTACACATGATGGTCCGGTCCACGGCGCGCTGACCTTATTGATGGTGCAGCCCTAATGTGGAGCATAAATTGAGATTCTCACAAAACAAAAGAGGTTATCGCCGATTGCCGGATATTTGCCAATCTGAAATTACACTCTCTTATGTCTGCAGTGCCCTTATGCAAAGCCGACACCAATGTGTTGAACGCCATTCCGTGGTTTATTGCTACTGAGTCGAATTATCTCCCCAAAATTCTTTCCAAACCTCCAAATCCACCATCAACATCTCTTCCCCTGCCAAAAATTCACTCGCAATACCAGTTCGTCTACATTCTTCCCCCCACAACCCAATGTCTTGGCGATCCCGCATGACTTCGTGGATAAGTGGGAAGGGCCGTATTTGATTGAAAGTGTAACCGGGGCGAACTCGTTCGGTCGAGACGCGAAACAGGGATCGTTTGTCGGTTAGTATGGTAGAATCTGACGGAGGCTGAAGGTTTGCAGCAATGTAAGCCCTTGTGAGCAGCATTTTCGCATGCTTAGTGATGAGGGATTGATAGTCCCGAATGTAACTCATAATTTTTGGGTATGCTTTCTGCCAAGCCTCCTCGTCATAGGCTTTGAATGGCTCAAGCTCTGGTGTAGATGCTATCGGTTGTATGTTGACCACCTCATGAACAGGGTCAAAGGAACTAAAGGTGTTAAATGACGGGAAAAGAGGTTTTTGCTGATCTCGCTCAAAAAATGAATCGTAGGCTTGAACCATTGAACCTTGCCGTGCTGCAACTCTCATGTCCTGCAAATTTTGGCGAAGAGTTGCCAATAGGGGACCCTTAAGTACATTCCAACCTGAACAATGCGCATGGATAAAAGCTAGC